TTAAAAAATGCAACCAGTAAGAAAGTGGGATTTGGTCGTGATTTTTTTTTTTCATATGATACATGTTAAATTTCTCAGTAACAACAACTGAGAAATCTACAATTAAGGAGAAGGGGATTAAAAATTGATAAAATGTATAAAGAAAGAAAAATGAATCTAACTCTCCGTTTATATGCATGTATAAATGACAACGACAATTTTAATGCAATAAATAAATAAGTATTGCTTTTATTGGTGACTGTTTGAGTAATTAAGAATACCCAGTCATTACGCAGAAAATTTGCCACTTTGTGACAATAGAACGTTTGCCAAATACCGATTTGATTCTTATCTTTGCACAAGTTGTTTCCCTTTAAGTTCGCTGATTGTAGACTCGATCAAATGGGCTGCTATCCATGTAAGACATGTAAGGCTAAAGGTATAGGTAGAGGGTTGAGATCTCACAAAAAGATGTTTAACCCCGCCGCATATTTTAGCCTGTCCCAAGTCAGGAGCCTCTTGCCTTCGTTATTCTTGTATGTTTTTTTTTAATTTTGGTTCATTTATATGTTTCGGAGTTTAGTGTGACGTCCATTTTCACTAAACTAGTACACATTTTTGTTAAGGGGCCAGCTGAAGCCCGCCTCCGGGTGCGGAATTTTCTCGCTGTGTTGAAGACCCATTTGTGGCCTTCAGCTGCTCTTTGGTCGGGTTGTTGTCTCTTGACACATTCCCCGTTTCCATTCTCAATTTTATAACATGATGATGGACGTGATATGTAGGTGTTATAACAGTTTTTGGTTGAGATATAACTATAAATATCAAAGATTTTTAGCGTAACAAAAGATCAAATGTAATTAAAAGCTGTGGCAAACCAAATATGAAACACATTTGCTCTTTCCGCTTGCTCTTCAATGAAAATGTATGTCCCCTATGGGAAGCAACGAGTACAAATGAATCCTAATTACAGGATCGGTAATGTAGTTGACATAAAGTCTATTATATTCAAAACGGAAACAAATCTCCAGACCTTAATGGTTTACTTTTAAATTGAACAATACATGTGTCGTGCGTGTATGTTTTTTTTTATGTAAAATTAACGAGAATAAAAAGTTGTATTATAAAATAATGATTAAATCGTGTAGCAAGCAGAGGTCACTATTGCTTATTTTGGTCCACAAAACAAACAAAAAAACACGTTAGTGCAAGTGAAAGCGAATTAATAAGATTTATAATCAAATTTTGTTATGATTTACAGAAAGTTACCTTAATTTTTTTTAAACTGTAATTTCCTTCTTTTGTTAACATGCAATTTAAAATTACAGAAGAAGTCATAAAATCATCATAATGTTCACTTCCAGGATTTAAGTTCTCTGGAAATATCTTATTCCTTTGAAGTTTTAATATTAACCTTTAAAAATTATAGCCAGTCATAACTTTCTATTTCATATAAATGCAACGTCGGTAATTACGATTTTTTTTTCTCAATAGCTTCACATTGATCAGACAGAAAAAGGAATTAACGACCTTCTCTTAGTAATGTTGATGGTTATTAAAAAGTGCAATTTCATTTAACTTTGTAATGCTTATTGCTATTAAAATGTCCATATCTATTCAAAAACGTTATTCAAAATATCCGTACATTTTTGAAATTTTGGTTCTTTAGTGATATTACGTACAAAACATGTCACATGTTATTACATGTACAACTAGAAGGCACGCGTGAATTTTACATTGTTTTGTCAGTAAGTTGTTTTATACATATCTTTATTTCTCAATGAACCAAATAACAATGGTATAGAGATTCTTACCAAATAACTACTCTAAATATTCACACAATATATATATTCATAATGCATATGTACAGACATACAAATAATACAAAAGTAAGACGGAGGCAATTACAGAGAATGCAGTAGATTTGAACACTAAAGGGGGAAAAGTACATGGCTTAGAACCTTCACGAATATTAATCAACCTTAATTAGACACAAGTTGTTTAGATGATATAGATTTTAACTGTTCATTAAATTTCAGTTAATTAGAGGATTTACGTGAGAATTTTACATCGTTATGTCAGTAAGTTATTTTATATAAGCATCTGTTGTGTTTCTATATTTTGTGTGTGTTTTTTATGGGAATTAATATACATATTTTTCATTAGGGAGCAACCATTTAACTTCAAGGGGGGAGGGGTATGGTTTTTTGTCTGAGTCAGAATTTTTTTTCAGTTTTGCGACGCTATCAATCAAATTATTTTTTTTCAAAATTTAACACTATAAGGTATGGGGAAATCTGGATTCAGAATATTTTTTTTTGTCATCTGCTTGACCACAATATTTTTGTTCATCAAATTGGAGATCAGAATATTTTTTTAGGAAAAAGCCATAACCCCACTCCCCATACCCCCCCCCCCCCCCTCCTTTTCAGCATGGTAGTCCTAGTATTTCCCTTTTAGGGATTTGTTATTATTGTTCACCTTTGATCGTCTCTGTTACATTTCAAAACTAAGACTAGTTTATGTCTTGACACGTCATGACATACAATACATGTAGACATGTCTTTTGGTGAAGGCATTGTGTTGACTTGTAGATGTCTTTAAAGTTTGTTCTGGTGTTTGTGTCGTTGGATTGATGTCTCGTTGACGTTTTTAATATAATCCATCATGTCTTTTTGTTTTTGTACTTTTATATTAAAAACAATTCGTTCGAATGATATTTACATGTAATTCTCAAAGCATTTGTTCAAAACGTTACTTACACATACATTTTTGTTGCAATATAGTGAACACTCATTTGAAATGCAGAATAGAATTTAGTTTAGAAAACGTCACGTGTATTGAAATTTTACAAAAAAGACTGATAACATAGTCTACCAGTAATTCAAAAAATACTTAAAACGACTTTGAGAAAGTGGATTTGATATGAAAATCCCATTCTATTATATATTCTAGAAATATCTTTTATCAATATTATCGAAAGCCTCTGATTTTTTGCAATTTGTCCTTAGTATTCAATTCTTCTCTTTGAATTCGATAGGAATAACGTAGCTCTGATAAAGATAAAACAAACTTTGATTATTTTGAACGCCAAACATATCAATATGTCACCAAAGAATGTATTTGGGTTATAGATTATACATCCATGTTGTAAGAATCATTGCGCTAAATTGATGGCGGTATCTCAAAGCATACATAGTCTGCAGAATTCAATGACAGAAAGCATTAGTTATTGTGCCGTTTATTTTAAAGATAAATGGTTGATGATATCTTTTTGATTGAAAGAATGCAAATTTCCTTTCAGCTTGTACGTGCAAAATATGCTGTCTTGATGCTTGTCTTTTGAAAAGGAATGCTTTTATTGTCTTTTATCACTTTATATTCCTTAATAAAAACATGATCATTGTTATTACTATATAGACTGTCCTTAATTAAAAGAGAGAGAGAGGCATCTTTGCCCTAAATAAACTACTGTTGATCCTGCATTGGACATAAGAGAAGTTCTAATTGATAGGAGTTGTACTAATTTCTCTATGCTACTGTTTTTCAACAGTTTTAAGAGAGGATAGTTCCACTATTTTCAAGTTCAGCGATGTTTGAAAATAAACAAACTTCCATCAATACCGGGTTCAAATTACTACTCAAAGTTTGTCGTCGTATTTTTAAAGATTGCTATCTTGGATTCTCAATTTCTGTATTTGATTCCACTTTCCCTCATCCGTAGTGAGTTGATAGATGTTGTATGCAGCCACGTGAAATCGTGCTGAAAAGTGGAATATTCTGTGGCAGTCAATCAATTATGGAAGCTCCGTGTCAAACATTCTTAATTACTAGTGGCGAAAGTTGTGTAACGAAACTTGCAGAACATGTGGCGAAAGCTTACTATACAATTATCTTATAAATACGTAACTTTGTACATTTGAAATTTTCAGTAGTGTATGGGATTTCATGTACTGTAAACCATCTTATTTTCGCGGATATACTTTATTTCGCGTTTTGCCCATTCTAGTCCACTACGCGACGATTTAATTTCGCGATTTTTAAACTATTTGATGTATTTCAATAAGGATAGATAATATTTTTACATATTCGCGGTGATCAAATTTCGCGTTTTTTTTTTACTCGCGAAAGTCGCGAAAATAAATCGCTCGCGAAAAATAGTTGGTTTACAGTATCTGTATATTGTTTACGCTATTATTTGTTTGGCTGTGCGTGATGTATGAGTATGTAACAACGTGCGGTCCGATTAAGGGTGCTAGAAATGCATCAAAATTACCTAAAAATCCAAAGTATCGCGCATTTACAAACAAAATATATACTTTGCCATTACGTCACGGCCCTATTCACAACCGGACGTAAATACGTACATATACATCCTGCACAGCCAAACGAATGCCACCTCGGCGTGTTTCTTACTGCAAATCAAGAAAAGTCCAGGGAACCTTATTTCTGTAGTAGACTATAAATAACAATTAAGCATATGAAAAAAAAAATGACCATAGGGCTTTTAATACGGGCCCTTCATACTATTACATACCTAGAATCATTTTATGCCGCCGTTACAGTACACCACTGATGTGGCCGTCCAATTTAGACGTTACAACTGAAAATATCAAAAACATTGTTTTAAATTGATTCTTTTATTGAGTCAATAAGGTCATGTGTCGCACAATCCCGAATATGCACAGATCTGCTGAAAAAAATACTGTGTCAATCAGTATTCAATGACAGTTCAGAAGATGAAATTTATGAAATGAAGGCGTACATTTTAAAAGAATGAAGTGATTTTAAGAAAGCATTTTAATCGTGTAAAATGTTCGTGGTTTAAAATTATAAATCTTTCCTATTTTTACTAAATAATCAAGTGCACATTCTGCGGTTACTAAATGTCATCGATGCACTCGTTATTCAATTTTCTCTATATGATATTATAGGTCATGTATGATTAACATGTTAAATCGATCGGCGCATATGGTGACTAACTAAAGAAAGCTTTTCAATCTTTTGTTGAATATTTTCGTTCTGTTCGCTGTCGGAAATAACATTAAGGCGCACAGATTTTTGTAAGGAATCTATCACTTTGAATTAAATAGTGCACATTTTGTGTTATGTAACGATAAGTTAATTAATATGAATGGAAGGAAGTTTTACAAAGATTAATGCCATTTAGCATTTTGGTTACTCTGGAAACAGTATTCATACGAATAAAAAGTTAGCACGGAAACATCATTCAGAGTTGGCTGCATGTACTTTTACAAAACAAAAGTCTTTTTTTCTCGTTAGTATGAAAAAGTTGAAAAGGTAAGGCTTTAATATATTCCAGTTGTAACGAGGGGACAAAGTGTAAATACAAAATAATACAAAATTGTAAATTGATTATAGAATTTTATTTCTTCAGACCTTTTTATTTCCGAAAATAATATTATTAATAATATCATTTTTATTAATTTCTAATTATTTAATTGATTACTGCTTTATTTGTGAAATTGCATATTATGTTTATTTTTCCACACTAAATTGCTTTATTAATATTTGTTCGTAAAAAAACTTTCCTTGTATAAATTCTCTCTTGTAATTTAAAAAAAAAAACTTCTTTCAGAAACAAATGTATACAGAAAAATTAGGTTACACTGTCGTAGTACTAGATAACCCACCAATGTTATGTGATTTCACTCGGGTACGATTCCTAAAAATGTCAATTGTTTTATTTAATTATGCACCCTTGTCAATAATTTGTGGTACAATTTTGTTTTTTTAAAGCTCGTATGGGTAGTGTTTTGCTCTTCGGGTTTTCGAGATTATGATTTTTTTTTCACGTCGGTGAAGTTATTTCATGTCAAAGGTATTAATGCCGGGTCGGGCATATTTGACCTCCCAAATCGGTGATATACAATTTAATGAACAGCTGAGGAGGGTGATATTAACGGATAAGCATGTTCAATTTGTCACTGGATTGTAAACACTAATCCATCCATCAATACTTCATTTCACTGAATATTCCTGTACTGTTATGAATCTCAGTTTATGGCAAAACTCAGTAAAGACCCGTCTAAATTCCATTTGAATGATAAAATCAACAACACTTTACCGTTATCTTGATGATATTTTTTCGTTAAATAATGAAGAATTCTCAAAATTTACTGCAGAAATTTACCTACAGGAACTTACCTTACATACATCATATATTAACAGCAATAAGTGTCCTTTTATTAGATTTAGACATTTCAAAAAAAATTACGACAAAAGGGATGATTTTTCTTTCCCTATTGTTAATTTTCCTTTTTTGGACGGTGATGTTCCTCTGGCACTATCTTACGGTGTTTATATATATCGTTCGTTATGCCCGTGTCTGTAGTGACGTTTTGGATTTCAATGAGCGTAATCTATGTATTACTGGTAAATTATTAAGTCAGGGATTTCGTTACCACAAATAACTTAAAACCTTTATTAAATTCTTCCATACATAAAAAGATTTGGTTTGCAAATTTGGCTGTACTAAACGGAATAGCACATCCTAAATTTTACGATGATGTTGTTAACCGAGCCCGGAAAGTTAGATACGATCCGGGTAAACTTATAAATCCTTTAAATAAACTTATTCTAAAAGTTTAACTATCCAACACTTTAAATAAATCTTTGAATATTGTTTTTATTGGAATAAATATTGATTTTGTTACCTGTAAATTAAAACCATACTAAATATTACACATATGTACTTTCACGCTACTACAATCTGTCGATACCTATATTTTTGCATTGCACAAGGTCATGTTTTTCTCTGACTGTTAATGACGTCTATACACTAAATCCATTGGATAATGGATGTGTACTGATTGATATATTAGTCTTATATACATGATTTTTAATTTGTTGTTATTGACTTTGAACTAGATGTGAGTAACTGCGAGTGCTATCAGATCTGTACTTAGTGTCTTTTTTGATTTTAGGGATGAGGGATGGATATATACCCTACCACGTCCTGTATGTGTTTTTGTTTGATTTTTTTCTTTGTATCGATCTGATGAGTTAAGCCTTTTTCAACTGATTTTTAGAGTTTGTTCTTATGGTGTGCTATTACACCACTGTCCTAGGTTAGGGGAGGGTTGAGCGCTCACAAACATGTTTAACTCCGCCACATTCTTTATGTGCCTGTCCCAAGTCAGGAGCCTGTAGTTCAGTGGTTGTCGTTGGTTGACGTCTGTCATATTTGTTTTGTTATAAATTAGGCCGTTAGTTTTCTCAATTGAATTATTTCATATTTTTCATGTCGGGGCCTTTTATAGCCGACTATACGGTATGGGTTTTTCTCAATGTTGAAGACCATACCGTTGCCTATAATTGCGTACGTCCACTTTATTTGAACTTTGGTGGATAGTTGTCTCGTTGGCAATCATACTACATTTCGTATACGATTTGGTATTTAAATAATTCTTGGTTTGAACCAGCGTCTCTCTAACTGAACTATAGAACTGCCGACATAAAGAATACCTTTTGAAAGTAGTACGATTTGACCAGCTGAACAAATTCAGAATTTGTGTTTTATACATGTTGAACGTTTTTCCAGGCAATTACTAACATAATTGCACCATATCATTAAACCGATTTGTTACATTTGTAAAAGTGTAGAACATCTGAGCCGTTTAATCATTTCAAGCACACATCAACATGTTTATATTTCATTAAACTAGTGTTTACAGTGTAAATGATGCAATATAGTGATGAATATGAACCCAATTTGTTATTTATTACACAATTAATGTCCATTATCGCGTAAAGGTTAAAACGGTTGCTGCTTTTACATTGTAGTTTATTGCTACCTATTACATTTTCAACCAATATTTTTTATTGTAAATCAGTTACTACTACATTGAAACAATCGAGTTGCCTCTTATAAACAACTTGCATCTGCTTTTTATCACTTGAATTCCATTAGAAACTATCTATTATCTTTTCTTCGTGTAACATCCATTCTTTATATGATATCCTATCTTTCACTAATTATGATATTGAAGACAATGTGTGGTCTACTCAAAATTATTTTGTCATGCGAAAATTAAAAAAGAAACAATCAGTGAACTGGATTACACACAAAACTCATTAATTCCACAAAACAGATGTTTTTATGTGTTTTACGGCCGTAGAATTTGATAAAATGTTATTTCTTTGATTGTTTTTTTTTTTTTTTATTTTCATGGTTGCAATTTATTTCTTCACTTAAAACTTTAGATTGGATACGATTATTGTCGTATATGCATGCGTTCAAGGCTAACTAAAATAGAGCTTAGATTTACTTAAATTCACATTTCAATAACAAACGGTGTCAATATGAACAAATTGATAAAAATATGTTATGTCGGATATTCCCGGTGCATTACATCTGCGCGCATTACCATTACATTTGCGCGCATTACCATTACATTTGCGCGCAAAAGTCATTACGTTATGTCGCAGTTATGTCGGCTGTCGCTTTTTATTTTACAACCACGCGGATAATCTGCCTCTCAAGTTTTCTAAAATCGGACTCATGTGAATGTTTACATTCACCATTTAGAATGGCTGTTTAATAATCATCAGTTTTGATCCTGCATTTGCCATTCTTTACGTTCATCGTAATGAAATATCCCCTGACTTCAGTGCTCTGTCGGTTTGTTTCTGACAAGCCAAACTCCATGTTTGTGCCTTGACGCAACTTTACAAACTGACTTAGATTACTAATTTTACTATTGTGTCCAATCCATTTTGCTACTTTTGCAAGTAAAATATGTTTAAACTATTTTAAACAAGTTTACTTATTTAAAAGCGATCACTAATCGTTAAAGTTAGGAAACAGAATACTATTCAATCTGAAATATTCGCAATTAAGTTACATGTATGCCTTAAGTTATAATTACAGGATTTCTCATGATCACATTATATTTTTTTTATTAGAACTCAATATGAAAAATATATAATTCAAATTAAAAAAACATTTTCAAACCTAATCATTTATAGTCATATTTATTATGAAATTTAATTATTTATAGTCATATTCATTATGAATTACCTTTAGTTTTACATAAGTTACATTTAAAATGAATGCGTGCAAACGTAAAAGAATTTAATTCCCGATGCGCGCAAATGTAATGCGCCCGATATTTCACCTCTGGTGAAATAGAAAAAAAAATTGTTTAAGCAGATGGACATCGAACAAACAAGGAAAAGTTCAGGTGACATTTTTTTAATAATGAAAAGTCCGTGTGACAATATATTTTAAAACAAAAGTACAGGTGACAATTTTTATTAAAGAAAAGTCAAGGTAAAAATTACGTACTAGCAAAAGTTCTGATGACAATTGCTTATACGACAGTCCAGGTGACAATTTTTTATACGAAAAAATCCAGGTGACAATTTTTTTTATTATAGAAAAGTCAAGGTAACAATTACGTACAAGCAAAAGTTCTGATGACAATTGTATAAATACGACAAAGTCCAGGTGACAATTTTTTATAAGTGAAATGCCAGGTTGTACTCCTTTTATTAGCAGAAGAACAGGAGGCATTTTTTTTAAAGCAAAAGTCCAGGCGGTTTTTTGTTAATAATAAAATGTCCAGGTGACAATTGTAAAATCATCTGCCAATAATATACAGATACATGTATATAAAAAAAAATTAAGCCATCTAACATTGGGACGATGTCACAGAAAAATCACACATACATGTTGATCCATGATCAGATTCTGTGGATCATTATTATTGGTGCAGTACCAATTTTTGTGGGTTTTGTAAGAATAACCTTAGTAAAATATGTTACGAGGATTGTTTTTTCTAATCTTTTTGTACACTTTAATATTAAGACAGATTAGCCTTACATTTCAAAGGAAAATTTACAGATATATTTTATCCGCCAAAAATTCTCCTTTTCAAATGCTTACTTCCAAATCCTAACATAGAGATCCATACTCTTTGATCAACTATCTTTGGAAACAAACATTATTTAGAGTTATATTGTTATTTTGAACATTAGCAGCAAACATCCCGAAAGGGTTCTATAGACAGTTGATTTAATATCGACAGAAATCCCACCCTAGTACTAATGGAACGACTATTCAACTTAAAAAAACTTTGAAAATATTCTGATCCCCAATTTGATGAAAAAATATATTGTGGTCAAGCAGATGACAAAAAAAAAGTCTGAATCCAGATTTTCCCCATACCCTATAGTGTTAAATTTTGAAGAAAAAAAAATTTGATTGATAGTGTCGAAAAAGTAAAAAAAAGTAAAACAAAATTCTGAATCAGACAAAAAACTCTACCCCCTCCCCC